ACCATATACGGCACCACACCCCTTCCCCACACCCTAAGTTGTTCCGATGGTAGGGGAGGGACTAAATATTTCTAGGGAACTGCGTGATAAAAGGGACACATTTTTAATAACTTCATACAAATTAATATGATATCTAATACAGACGGTTACCATCCCTTTGACCCCCCCCCCCCCCCTAAAGGATAGCTGCCACCCCCTACCCCCACCCTGGAAAAAAATATAGTCCTTTACGGTAAAATAGATCCTACGTTCGCCATACGCGCGCGACATCGTATCTTTCCTAAACCGTATCTTTCTGTATATACTTGGATTATCATTAATTATTATATTATTTGTTATCCTGTAGTATATACGTGGATTCTTATTCTTGGATTATTCTTTGACACTTAGGACAGGGGATTAGGGAGACGGCAGCTACCCGGCATTTGATTAGTTCATGATCGAATTCGTTAAATCTTTCGTAATTCACCTCGCAGTTTCGTTGGCAACTTTCCTGCCCTCCATTACCAGAGGGGCCTAGGTTGTGGCGTATGGGAGGGTGGGGGGAGGGGGATCCACGTTTCATGGGCGTATGTTTAAAGAAATTAGGGAATCCACCTTTTGAAGCACAAAATCCTCTACTAAGGAATAATACCGCAAATAATAATAATAATAATAACGATAATAATAATGATAATAATGATAATAATGTAATAATAATAATGATAATGATAATGATAATGATAATATAATGATAATGATAATGATAATGATAATGATAATATAATGATAATATAATGATAATGATAATATAATAAATATAATGATAATGATAATATAATATAATATACTAAATGAATAAATAAATAAAGAATAAAATAAAATAATAAATAAAAGATAAAATAAATAAAATAATAATAATAATAAGAAGAAATGAAAAATAACTAGCGTACCAAAATAACGTAAGAGGATAAAATCATTGTATTTTTGAAACTGAAAGTCTTAAAGTAACCTTAAGACTGCCTACAATAGTGGAGATTCTAGCATAAGAAAATTGTATAAAGAAATGATTTGCGTTATACAATTCCTTTAAGCATCCGGCCATAAATAACAACATGTATGAGTAGTAGAAGGTGAGAGGCGTTTGTTATGGTCATTTACCAAAGTAGGAGAGAAAGAGTAGATTGATAAAGAGGAGAATAAGAAAGGAGGAGAGGAAAATTAGTGAAGTTGTCACTTTAATGCAGCTAGTAGTTACACCCCATTCATATCTCGTAATTATCGTTATCTTTGTAGGAAAGGGTAAATAGAGAAAAATTGCAATGAAAAAGAAAATGGTTTATCATAAGAGGAAAGAGGATTGTGAATAACATAGTAAAAAGAAACAGCAGTATGTGAAATGGCTTAATGTACTCTTTACACCTTTATCTATATAGTTATTATTATACTCACTACTATTATTCTCACTATTACTGTTATTACTATTATTGTTATTATTGTTATTATTATTTTTTTTTTATTGTTGTTATGTTATTGTTATTATAATTATTATCATCATTATCACCAGCAGCAGCATTACCTTTGTTTAGAAATAAACAAAGATATAACCAAATAGTTAGATAGAAGTAGAACAGACAGATAGATGGATAGATAGTGTAAGTGAATGAGAGACGAAAAGAGAGAGACATTTCTTGTGTTCTTAATACCAACATATTTAAATGTATTGTATTAGCGTTTACAGTCTCATAATTATGGTTTTATTTTAAGTAAACATTACCAGAGTTGAGTAAATAAAGATTAAATTTTAAAAAAAGGTAATAACACATTTCGCTGGAAATAAGAAAAACTAAACATATGAGGAAGGAAAAGTGGATTAATGAAAATAAAGGATTGCTTAACTAAAGAGATTTAGCTGCGCCTGTACGAGAGAAAAAAAATAAAGGAAAAATATACGAACAAAAAAAGATTATGTATGTAAGATTAAAGAATAAAAAGAGCTAGAGTTACAAAAGAATAATAATATAATAATAATAATAATAATAACAAAATAAGATAAAGGGAATGACGACCAAACAGGGAAAATTAAAGCAGATAATATGACAAGATCAGCTGATGAAGGCGTAAATGCATTAATGATCAAAATATATAATAATAAATGTCAATACTTTAAATGAAGATGAGAAGCGCAAACAGGGAGTTGATGGGAGAGAAAGCGTAGCATAAAAGGGACAGGCAACAGAGCGCAGATCTCACAGCCGCAGACGAAGCGGATTAAGCGCGCTATCTGACTCCGAACCGGATGACTCACCCGGCCGCCTCCTCCCGCAGGTGCTGGAGCTGTGCCGCGGGACGGGCTCGGCGCCGGCGAGGGACGGCTGGACGCACGCCTGGGCCGTCACCACGTGTCGCCAGCGCCTCGCCCGCGCCCACATCGTCGGCGGACGCCCTCACGCCGCCCTCGAGGAGATCGCCGTGGCCCTCGGCAGCGCCCCCGACGGGTACGGCGTCCACGCCCTGCACA